ATATAAAATTATACATAATTTTTTATGACAATTATTTTTATATTTTCGAAACTTGTTTTTTTTTCTAAAACGAACAATGCGAAAATTATCCCTTTAAGTATTTTTTATGTTTTCACATTTACTATTATTATTTCTATTATACTGAAAAATAATTTTACAAAAGAAAAATGGATGTTATAGACGTATTTCATATATGATTATACATGTTTATGAATATTTAAATATGTATGTTTATACATATTTATATATATGCATGTATGAAAAATTTTTTACCTTGTCTTACAAACTTACTGTTTTTCAAATGAAAGTATTTTAAATATATGCCCAGCCCTGATTATATCATTATAATTGTATTAGAGAAATTCGGAATTCGGTATTATCCGGCATTTTTTTACTACACGACCGGATAGTTGAATATCATTAGTATCCGGGTATATATATCTATTTGACATGTACATGTAATTTTATATGATTTTTTATTATATAAATGTTCTACAAAGTGTGCATACTTATAATACTATATCTTATTATAGGAACGCACCGGAAAATTATCGGATACCGGATATTGGATATTTGGACAGAATGTAATATCAGATATCGGGTATTTAATCGGATATCCGAGAAGGCAATTTCTTAGAGTCGGATATCCGATCGGATTTCGAGAAAGTGTCTTTAAAAAAAAAGCCTATAGAGAAAAAGATTATAATTTTGCAACAATGTATAAGATATTATAGCATCATAAATATGCATATTCATTTCTAGAACATTTGAAGAACATAAGAAACAATCAACAATTTAATGATGTCAAATTTCAATAGGATACATTTCCGAATACTAATGATATTTGGCTAGCCGGTCGGATAATAAAAAAGTGCCGAATAATACCAAGTATCGGATACTTTCCAGATGCAGTCCTAATATCTTATATATAAAATTACAATTTATGTTGCAAAATTACAATTTATTTCTCTACAGTTTTTTTGTTTATAGAAGACGTCCCGAAATCCGATCGGATATCCAGAAAATATCGGATATCCGATTCGAAAGTTTGCCTTCCCGGATATCCAACCAATACCGGATCAATCCGATGTTACATTCTATCCGAATATCCGATATCCGGTATCCGGTTCATTCCTAATAATTAATTATAATTCAATAACATGGTTGAACAACAACCCAAATGTATGCAAATATTTATTCTGCTGATTAATTAGGAATATCTTGGAGACTTTTCAGCCGAGAAACATCGCTGATACGAATGCCGCGTCTATTTTCGACTCGTGCAGCGTACGCTGCGGTAGCATTAGAAGCGCATTAGCTTTTTGATATGTTTTGATGTTGTTTTTTTGAACGGCAAGCCCTTGGAAACGTTTCCTTCTCTGACCAGTGTAAAGTTGTCCATAAAAATTTCGGACGATGATGCAGCTCATGCGTTGTCATTATCTGTAACGACAGTGATATGACATATCAGTCAGAGTATCTTTTCCCATATGTGAAATGCAAGAGACATCTTACGCAAGTCTGTATGTTAGGTTTGGGCTCATAAGCCATGACATCGAAGTGCATTCCGTTCAAAAACGGCAGAAGGAATATATGCGCGACAATGGGAATTGTTACTGGGTTTGCCGACATGCATAGAAAAAATTTTATTTTGTGATGCACGTTGCGAATGTTGTTGATTTTCCTAGTTTCATCTCTACACGACCTAAGACAAAAAGACCAGTGCTTGAACAAAAAGATCACACTGTAGCATATACCGAATTAAAATAAAAAGAAACGATATACCAAAATGTATAACAGCGTTAAAATATTCTCTTAAGATAGGGTTTAATAAATCATTGTCGTTTGCATGTCCCATTATCACAAGTAGGTTTACTTTATTCAAAGCGTATTTAATATTTTTGATAATAGCTTTTAACCTGTGAGAATATGATCGTTAAATTAATTAAGAGCTATGACAATGTTAATTATTCGTAAATTAAATCATGTCTTACAGATAAAGAATCACAATAAATTTTGGTTGTACTCACTGATAAGCTGAAATTCCTAAGTCTACGGGATTGTAACCATTTTCTTTCAATAATGAGATTAGAGTTATATTATTACAGTCGTAGATGCGTTTTAAAGTTAAAGTGTATCCAGGCTCTTCCAATTTATCTCCGATAGACAGCAGACCTACAGATGGAATTTGAATGACTGGAACCGAATTTATGCCACATAATTTCAAAATGCCCAATTCCACCGATCCGATACAACTGTATATCTGTAAAACGATCTGGCCGTGCTCCATCTCGCAGTCAGCGTTTCTTCGAAAATAAATAAATTGTTTTGTGTTAATAGAGCAAAGCGTGCTTTGAGAAGAATAGAAAACAATAATGGACTGTTTGTATACCTAATATTCTCGTTTACTTTTGAGGCGATCAAGACTTCAATTTCATATTCCTTATCGAAAATGTTAAAATAATCGTCATCATTGTCGCTACATTTTTCCAATACTTTTGTATTCGCTAGTGTTACAACCGCTGTAGCACCTGCAATCGCAGATAAAAACAGTAATTAATCTTTAATTATAAGCAAATCAATTTATAGTTGTAATTATTTTTACCATTGGGTATAGGATCTCCACTTCTTACTCGCACGCAAGTGCCAGGTACAACCGAAATCTCTGCAAACTGGAAAAGAAGCGATATTTTGTAAAAATCTACTAGATTTACTCTTTCTCTATTTCTTAGAAAAGAGAAGAAAAACTAGAAAAAAATAAACAATTAATTAAACCGAAATTTAAATTAAATTTGAAATTGAAATTGAATTTAATTGATACCTAATGCTCGTTTCTACTAATAGTTTAATTTCATTTTCGGTTCAATTAACTGTTTATTTTTTTCTAGTTTTTCTTCTCTTTTCTAAAAGATAAAGAAAGAGGGAATGAGTAAATTAAATTGAAATTTAATTTAATCTACATTGGTAGAAATAAACATAATTCAATCAATAGAATTATTTCCAAAATTTTCTACTGCACAATTCATTGACAATTTCCAATTACTTTTTTTTACGTTTTATACAATGTAGAAAACATAATAATAATAATATCCGTTCTACCCAAATCAGTCGAGCCATTATTCATTAATCAGAATTGAATAATCTTTACCGTGAGATGTGCTTTCAATACTCTTCTTTTACTCTTTCCGTCGCTGACCAACACCGCGTATCCATGTTTAGCCGAAGTATTATAAAAGGGCACGTTTTCAGAGGATTCTATACTATTAGCCAATATCCTGCCATAAGCATTATTCGTCTCCACGGTTTCTGTATTATCTTCATACTCATCGTCTAATACTCTGTGCATTGTATGTAATGCATCTTTTACCGACATCATAATAGTTTGCTTTTGTCTCTTATAAATTCTCTTGGATAGATTTTGTATTGATATATTTTTCTGTATAGAGAGTCAATTATTATTCGTGTATTCGCAGCCTGAAAATTTATCTTATTTTCCTCAAGCGCGAAAGATATTTTACCGTTTCATTCTCGGAGATAGAATGCAAAAACATTTTATCAGAATTATCACCGTTATTGTTAATATTAAACGCCTTATCAAAAGTATCATCATTCTTGATGTTATAATTTTCTTCATTTTGCATATTCATTAAATGTACTATTTCTAATATCAAGGTAATACTTATCATCAAACTCATTATTGAATTTTCATATAAAGGACCGCACATATTAATGATAAGTTTCTTGTTTCGTATTCCGTTTCTTGTTTCGTATGGGTCTGAGAACACAGTCATACTATAAAAACAGTAATCTCGAAAATCGTAAGATAAATGGAAAAAAAATTTTACCGAATATATGAACGCTTTAATTCTTCTATTAGTTTTGATAACAATGCGTTTAGATCATCAGAGATATTGTTATTGATGACGTCTTTAATTGCCTCATATGCAATAGCACACAATGTCGAAAAAAAAACCGTACCATTAGTTAAGATAATAATATTATTTTTGTTCTTATTACTCAAATAAATTAATGATTTCTAAATGTAACATAAATTATATAAATATATAAAAAAAAACGTTTGCATGCAAGGAAAATATTTAAAGAATTATTATTAACAGAAGTTACCTTTATTTTCTCTTTCTCGTTTAAGCTTGGAAATCTGATAGAAAGTTGTCCTCCTAAGTAATTAATCTTCTGTTTTAATTCATTAATTTGATTGATTAATAGTTCCTTATTGACATCTTGCCCAACTATATAAATAATTAAAATAAAATTATTAGAATATTTTTAAGAATTATGTATAACACAATTCGAATATAAATATATTACATAAGCGAATTAATATGTTATACAAAGTTATTAATAATCGAAGATACGAGTACATAAGACACGTACGTGAAATTATCTTTAATTTTTAAACATGTGTGCGATAAAATATTTTATTTTGAATTTTATTAAGATCTATTTTTTAACATATGATATATATATATCTTGTAAAAGATAAATAATATACATACTAATTAAAATAGTAAATTTTAGAGCCATTTTAATTTCTTTTACTCTTCGTTAACCTCGTGATGTCGTTTGATCACGACCACTTCGTTCGTCAGTTGATTTTACTTTGTCTATTCGATAAGTAAAACATAACGGCTGTTTATACGAAAATGTTTATATTTCTTTCTCTTTTCAAAATTCTTCTATTATAAGATGCTGTAACCTGTGTCGATTTTGTTTTGAACGCGTATCGCGTTGATGACATCTTTTTGCTTATCACTTTAATTGAAACAAATTGAATAAAACCATCTGTTAACAAAAGATTAGAGATGAAGTGCAGATTTAATGGCACATTTACTGCTTTATTGTTTTAATTATTTTATTGTTTTAATTATTGTTTTAATTATTTTGCATAATTTATAAAATAGAATAATTTAGATGCTATTTACTCTTTAATTAGAAACAAATAAATGTAATAAGTAAAATAAACAAATATAAATTAATAAATAATAAAAGTTTTCTTTTAAAATCAATTATCTATAAAAATTTGTATGTTATATACATTTATGTACATACATACCTGTACGTAGACATTTGAATTTTATATGACTTCTTTTTATTTGATACGTAAATATATGAAGCCTATGCATCGATCCATTTTGTTGCAATGAGTTTGTTACAAGCAATATATTATCAGAGCACTTATATACCAAAATATTTTAAATAATAATTTGTATCTTAATAAAAAATAAGATAAAATGACTCGTAATATTTAAAAGAATGATGAAAGCGAGAAATGAAAGTCTCATATGATAATTAAAGCGCAAATTTTTTAAAATTTAATAATTAAATAATTGATCACATTTGTATTGATTTTTTAATATACTCTATCCCGTGTTCATACTATTCAAAAGTGTGTAGTTGTGTAGTATAATTTTTGAAATAAAATTTAAGTTTGTATAAAAATATTTATGTTGTGATATTTGATGCATGAGCGAATTGAATGGAAATAAAAATAAACCAAAGTTACGTGCGTTATGTAAGAAAGTTTCAAATTTTGACATTTTGTGTAATTTATTTTATGTGTAATTTATTAGGTGTGCATATTTATAATATATTAAAATACGAAATAATTTTTATTATACGCATATCAATTATTACAGAATCATTAATACACATCATTAAACAAATTTTATCAGGTATTACAGTTGTAATACAATATATATAATATAAAAATAAATTTTTGTTGCAAGAAAATGATATACATTTAGAATTGGTAGAAAAAGTGAAAAATTTTTTGCCAACAGTTCAATTTTTCTTAATGAAAATATCGAGATATTTTATGTATATATACTGTTATATGTATTATATAATATAATACATAATATATAATATAATACATATAATAATATATAGAATAATATCATAGTAATATTACAATAAATAATATTATGATTACAATATACAGTATAAATTATAATAACGTAATATATATGTAACGCTATATGCATGTACATTGTAATAAAATGATTTTTATTTATTAATATTATTATAGAATATTAATTTCAAAGAATTAAAATTTGTATAAATTGTACCATGATAATTTTTTGCGAATTATGTAGTGGATGTAAATACGAATAAAAGAAATCTATGAATTATCTTTCAAATCGACGAATCAATTTGAAGAAATCAATTTAAAGAATAATGCCAAATTCAATATAATTTAAATTAATCTTTAATAAGATTTTAATTCGCAAAATTACTCCGTTTAAATGTACAAAAGAATGTTTGAAAAGAAACAAATATTAAGATCTTTCGATGTTTTCCATAAGAAAAAACTTTTTTTATATATGTGTCTATAAAATAATCATATATCTTTAATTTTATTTTTGCCAATATATTGGCAATACACCGGGTATGCACGTTTTTTTTAGGACTTGTTGCTTTTTTTTGGATCTTAATATAATTCTTAAGAGCTTTATTCGAGATACATCATGAGGATGTTCTTTGGAATGTCCTAAGAGATCCAGAGAACGTTCCCTGGAGATCTGTGCTATTAGTGACAATATTTCAATAAATAATACTTTAATATTGAGGTATAGTATTGAAATATTATTTAAATACAATATACAATTCAACTAAATTATTGTGATTAAAAAATATAATTACATAACGCAAATGAATGCGAATGTTCGTCTTGCTGGTTGATTAGGAATATCTTGGAGAAGATATTTCAGAAATTTTTAGCCGACAAACATTGTTGGTACAAATGCCGCATCTAATTTTGGCACCTCCGACGTGTATTTTGGTAGTTTTAGGAGCACATTAGCTTTTTGATATTTCATTATGTTCTGATGTTGATTTTTTGAACAACAAGCTCTTGGAAATGTTTCGTCCTTCGTCCATTGGGCAGTCGTCCATGAAAATTTCGGACGCAAATGTAGCTCGTGATTTTTTATCTATAACATTAATGACAGCGTATTAATGAACACATCTTTTTCTGTATGCTGAATGAGAAAAGATATAGTCTTTATAATTCATTCAGACAAACTTGCATAGCTACAGAAACATATGTATAAAGAAAATTTATTTATTGCGGCTGTGTAAGTTCCTTACGCAAATCTGCATAACGATGGACGTGGAATAATCGCGATGTATTATGTTTAGAAATGGCAGAAGCACTACGTGCGCGACAATAGGAACTGTTGCTGGGTTTGCTGACATACACAGGAAAAATTTCCTCTTATAATTGTACATGCACGATGCAAACGTCGTCGATTTTCCTGGTTTCATGTTCAAACAACCTGAAAGAGGAAAAGCATTGCTCGAGCAAAGAGATATGTCACACCGTAGCGTATACGAATTAATATAGAAAAAAAACGATATACCGAAATGTATATCAGCTTTAAAGTGTTCTCTTAAGATTCCCTTTAATATATCTTTGTCGTTCACAGGGCCCATTATCACGAGTATGTCGACTTCATTCAAAGCATCTCCAATTTTTTTTATCATAGCATCCAATCTGCGAAAACGTGATCTTTACATTAATTATATATCAACGACGTTAATTATTCGTAAATCAAATCGTGTTTTACAATAGGTAGAGGAAATGTAATAGATTTTGATTGTACTCACTGATAAGCCGAAATTCCAAAGTCCGTGAGATCGTAACCGTTTTCTTTTAATAAAGAGGTTAAAATTATCCTGTTGCTTTCGTAAATGCGTCTTAAAGTGTTTTCTTCAAATCTACTTCCAATAGAGAGTACACCTATAGATAAAACTTTGATAACTGAAATTGCATTGATACCACATAATGCCAAAATGCCTAGTTCCGATGATCCGATACGGTTGAACTTTTTCATAAGGTACTTATTACGCTTTATCAAGTAGCCAGCATTTCTTCAAAAATGAACAAATTGTTTTATGATAATAAACAATGCGTGCTTTAAGAAGCATATTAAATGATATCGAACTATCTTCGCATACCTAATATTCTCGTTTACTTTTGGGACGATCAAGACTTCAATTTCGTATTCCTTATCGATGATATTAAAATAATCGTCATCATTATCGTTGCATTCATCCAATATCTTTATATTCTCTAGTGCTACAACCGTATTTGCTCCTGCAATCGCTCATAAAAACAGTAATTAATTCTCCACTATAATCAAGCAAGTTTAATTTGCAGTTGTTGCAACTATTTTTACCTTTTGGTATGGGATCTCCACTTTTTACTCGCACGCAAGTGCCAGATACAACAGAAATCTCTGCGAACTAGAAAAGAAGCGGCATCTTGTAAAGATTTAGTTTTGACGATTAAAATTTGTGTTTAATTTAATCGATGACTAATTGGTTATAGAGAAAGAAAGTAATTCGGCAGAATTACTTTCTGTTCATACAATTTGCCTCTTATAATATCTAATATTTGCTTTCACACTTTAGACAACATAGAAAAATTAATAATGCCACCCATACATCAACGTACGAGCCATCATTCGTTTATTGGAATTTAGCAAGTCTTACCATGTGATGTGCTTTTAACACTTTTCTTACATCCTTTCCGCTGGTCTCGTTGCTAGCCAACATTGCGTATCCATGTTTAGCGGAAGTTTTATAAGACGGAAGTTCTATCGTACTAAATACATCTGTAGCCAGTATTCTGTTGTAAGCGTCAATTGTGTTCACAGTTTGTATATTTACTTTAAAGTATTTGTTGTCATATACTATAGCTTTTATTACATCTATTGCTTGCTCTACTGATATCATATTATTTTTCTCTGATTTTTTATATAACTTTGTCGTCATTAACATTTTTTCCTATAATGAGAATTAATTACGATTTGTATGTACGCAATTTCTAAGAAAATTTACTTTATTTCTTTGAGCGTAGAAAATGCTTTACCATTTCTTTTTCAGTAAGATGCGAAGTCATTTCAGAATCACTGTTGCTACTACAAAACTTCTCAGAATTATCATTACTTTCGGAAGTACGACTTTTTTCATATTCTTCAGCTATAAGATCTATTGTATCCTTTATAAACATTTCATGTTTCTTGAACATTAACGTTATATTTGGATAGAAATCACACGTAGTAATAATAAGTGTTTGGTATCGTATTCCACATAATAATCTGAGAACATATATATGTATATGTATATAAATAATTAATACTGTATAAAAGCTACATATAATCTCGAAAACTATAAGATAAATAGAAACAGAATTTTACCGATTAAAAGTACGCTGTAGATCTTTTGTTAGATCTAATATCAACATGTTTATCTCATTAGGAATATCGTTATCAGTAATCTCATTAGCTATATCGCTCAACATCGAGAAAACAGTTAGTTTGCCAGTTAAAATAATAATATTATTGTCACTTTGATTGCATGCAAAAATTAACTGTTTCTATATATAACATAAATTATATAATTATACATCGATCGTATAGGTATATGCGTATAAATGTGCGTGCACGTATGCGTGCATACATACGAGAAAAATATTAAAAAATCTATTTGTAAAAGTTACCTTTATTTCTTTTTTATCATACTTCGAAATTATGACGGAACTGAAAGCTATGTCGCATATACTGTCTTGTAGTGAAGAGATCTGATTTTTTAATAAATCAATATTGTGGCTTTCTTGCTCTACTGTATAGTATAATAAAATTAAAAATAAAATTATTTGTAATATGTTTAAGAATATTATTATTTAAATATTTTTAAGAACTATAATGTAAATCAATATTATAAAAGTTAATAATTGAAGATATGCGAACGTAAGACATGTACAGGATGAATCAGCTTTTTACTCTATGAAAACATAATTGACACTGCACATGTTATAATTCAATTAAATATGAAGTCGATAATTTTCTCATAGAGTAAAAGTTAATTCAACGACTTTGATTCATTTTATATGTGTGTATATTTGTATATGTATAATAGAATTATTTTTAATTTCTAAATATGTATATGTGTGTGTGTGTGTGTGTGTGTGTGTGTGTGTGTGTGTGTGTGTTGTGTGTGTGTGTGTATGCGCGCGCGCGCGCGTGTGTGTGTGTATGCGTGTGCGTG